GGGGGGGGGGGGGGGGGGGAGTGAGGTGTAAGGTGTGAGTCCTCAGGGGGAGCAGGGAAAGTGGTGGATTCTCCTAAGCAGAAGGAAGAAATAATAGCCCACTGCTCAAAGGAGCACTGGGTGCTGGGCCACTGCTGTGCAGTTGCACTGCTGAGATGCAGCCAGCTTTGGGGAGGAGCACGGGAGCGGTTTATACAGAGACCCCCACATCCGGTGCTGAGATGCAGCCACCTCCTTTTCCCTCCATCACAATGAGGCTAAAAGCAGTCACTGCCCCTCACCGAGGCCTGTGGGTCAATCCTAGATGTACCCCTTAAGCCAGAGGGAAAGGGGGCTCAGACAGATCTGAGCTGCCATCCCTCCTCCCCAAGCACAGGGACAGGGCTCTGGGTGAGGCTGTTCTCATGGCAGCTCCGCGTGCTACCCACTGGCAAGTCTTGAACGCTCCAGGCCTCAGCCAGCCCCCTTGTCTCCAGCCAGGGTTCCTGAGCAGAACAGGGAGCAGCAATGTGGTTTTGCGGGGTGTTCTGGCATCCCCCACTGGCCAGCTCCCCTCAATGCACCAAGAAATCTCAGTGCCCCCAGCACTCACCAATCCCATCCCCAGCTGTTCGTTCCCCCCTCCCCAACCCGCTTTCCAGAGGGGTCACCGTACCAGTGTCCCCATGGCCCAGCGGGGCAAACTGATTCACCAAGGGATGGGCAGGTGACTTTCCCCAGTAGATCCAACCAGTGCCAGAGCTGAATTAGAAGCCAGACCTCCTGAGCCCCAAGCTAGCTCTCTAGCCACTAGGCCACAGTGCTGGGGCTGCAGTCACTGTGCTCCCCTCCCCGTGGGGGGAAGAGAATTCCCTTCTCTTGGGCCATGGCTGATGGCAGCTAGAACTTTGGTGCCAATCCAAATTCAGAAGGGGCCGGGGGAGGAAGGGGCTGTTCTGGAGCTATCCCAGGCAGCCAAGAGCCCAAAGGTCAGCGAGAGATGATGCCAAATTTACCCACCTTCCGTTCGGTGGGAAAGCTGCGCAGGCCTGGAGCAGGGCCCCTGGGGCACTGACTGCATTCCCATGCCGTGGGGCTGGGGCCCAGGCTGGCGTCAGGGGCTGCAAACAGAGGGAATGGGTAGGTTGAATTGGGGGAGGGGCTACAGTCCCTGTGGGTAGGAGGGAGCCCTGGCATGAGGAGGGGGGGGCGCAGCCTGAGCTGCCAGGGTCAATGTGCGAGGGTCCAGCGAGTTAATCAGCAACCCGGGGCCAGCTATAAGGCACCTCCTAAGGCAGCTGGGCCACGTGGGCAGAGCTGACCCCAGGCGAGAAGGATGGAGGCTGGTGCTGTGTTGATCCTGGGCTTCCTCCTTCTCCTCCTTTTCTTCCTCTCCTTCCAAGCCACATCCAGGCAGGGCCTCGGGCGCCTCCCCCCGGGGCCAGCCCCCCTGCCGCTGCTGGGGAATCTGACCCACAACGTCCTCCCGCTGTACCACTCCTACCGCCGGGTAAGCAAGGACTGGCTCCCACTGCTGGAAACCTGCAGGAGCACATTCACCCGAAACTGGCAACCCCAGGAACCATGGGGAGGCGGGTGGGGGGGTGACCAAACCACACTCTTCCGCTAGTCTCAGTCCTGGGCCAGGGAGGTGCACTTAAAGTCACTTTCCCCCATCACAGCCTTGATAGGGAAACTGAGACTAAAGCAGCAGGTTCTCCCATTTCCTGATTAACACCCCCTTGTGCTCCCTTACCCCTCCCCTCTGATTCCCACCCCAGCTCTGCCAGGAATATGGCCCCATCTTCACCGTCTGGCTGGGCCCAAGGCCCACGGTGGTGCTGTGCGGGTCCGAAGTGCTGCGTGATGCCCTGGTGGAGCACAACAAGGAATTCAGTGGCCGAGCTCTCGTCCCTGTGCTCGACCATCTGTCCAGCGGGTACGGTGAGTGTGGGCCGGGGAGGGTCTGTCTGCAAAGCCCTGCTCCTCTGCCTGCTGGCATCACACTGGCTCCGCTGCCGCTGGGGCTTTGTGAACCTGTGGAACTGCCTGCCACTGGAGACTGCAGACTCAGGTAGTGTGGGCTAGTGGATAGAACACTGACCTGCTGCACAACCTCGGGCAAATAACCGCACTGCCCTGTGCCTCGGTTTCCCCACTTTTGTAAAGTTCTTGACATCTGGAGATGAAAAGAGCCAGGGATTGTCCTTATTTTGTATTAACGTGAACATCCAGGGCTGCAGCTGTGCCTGCAGCTGGGCACAACTTTTCCTCAAACAGAATTTTGAGATTTTTTTAAAAAACTTTTCAACACAGTGGAAATTTCCACTTGAAAAGTCCAATCCCAGCCACATTTTTTAAAGAGAGGGGGAACCCTGAAAATTCCATTGATGGAACCCTGAAAATTTTCAAAAATTTCATTGGTTGCCAGCAACCAACTCCCCCAAAATTTGATTGGTTGGGTAATATTTTTCATTCTCTGTTTGCCCCCGCCTAAAGAAAACCTCCTTTGTCATTGATGGGGGAAGGGCTGATGAAAAAACTGAAATCATTGTTTGGAAAAAGGGTTTTTTCTTTTTCTTTCCCTTTTAATCCAAAATATTCACAGGAGGAGGGGGAGACAAAAATAACTAAGAACATAGTATATCCTCCTCTATCACTGGCTGTGTATGTTAACCCATGTTAACCCAAATTGGTGGGGGGCATCCAATGGTTAGAGCTGGAAGGGAGGGGAACTGAGATACAGGGCTCCTGGGTCTGTCGAGGTCTGGGAGGGAAGTGGGGTCTAGTGGTTAGAGCATGGGGGGGAGGGGTTAGCCAGGACACCTAGGTTTTCTCCTCAGCACTGGGAGAGGAGTGGGACTAATGGTTAGAGCGGGGGGGGGGCTGGAAGCCAAGACTCCTGGTTCTCTTCCAGCTCTGGCAGGAGTGTGGGGGCTAGTGGTTGGAGCAGGCAAGGCTGGGACATGGGGCTCTACTCTGGGAGAAGAGGCAGAGCCTCTGTTAGTGACACAGACATCCCCATGACTGTCACAGGGTTAACTAACGGCAATGGTGAGCAGTGGAGGCAGCTGCGCCAGTTCACCCTTTCCACGCTCCGGAACTTGGGCATGGGGAAGAGGACAGTGGAGGAGCGGGTGCAGGAGGAGGCCTGGCACCTCACCCAAGCTGTGACTGAGAAGCAAGGTGAGCAGCATACCTCAAGCTGCCACTCAGGACTGGGGTGTAGCATTCCCAGACAGTGAGCCTTGGGCACCCAGAGGGGAGTCCTGGGGGTGCAGGCCCTGGAAGGGAAACGTCTGACAGTGGTTAGCGCAGGGAGCGGGGTTTTCAGAATTCCAGCTATGAGAGGGAAGTGGTATCTAGCGGTTAGAGCAGCAAGCCTAGGAGCCAGACTCCTGCATTTTACCTCTGGCTCTGGGACAGAAGTTGGGTCTAGTGGTTAGAGCAGAAGGGGCTAGAAGCCAGGACACCTGGGTTCTAGCCCCAGCTCTGGGAGAGGAGTGAGGTCTGGGAGATTAGAGGAGGGAGCTGGGAGCCAGGCCTCCTGGGCTTTCTGATTTCCCCAACTTGGGCTTGTTTCCTGGTGTCTGCTCGCCCCTCTCGCAGGGCATGAGTTTGACCCCCAGCCTCACCTCACACGGGCCGTGGCCAACGTCATCTGCTCCATGGTGTTCGGAACCCGCTACAGCAGTGACAACAAGGAATTCCAGGAGCTCCTGCGCATCATTGCATCCTACATGTGCTTCTTCCGCTCCTTCCATGCACAGGTACCCAGTGCCCCGCCCTAACCCCCACAGCAGCTGCATGCTCGGCCTGGCACCAGGAGGCAGAGATGCACCGTTAGTAGGTTGGAAATTTTTGGACTATCCCTTGGAAAATAAAAGCTTCAGGGGGTAGCCCAGTTAGTCTGTAACTAGAAAAATGTACAAAGCAATGAATAGTCCAGCAGCACCTTAAAGTCTAACAAAAACACGTAGATGTTATCATGAGCTTTGTAGTTTAAGGTGCTGCTAGATTATTCATTGTTTTGTAAGTTTTTCTAGTTACAGACTAACTTAAGTTTTTCCTTGGAAAACACTGATTCTCCAAGCACGTGTGTGGGAAAGGGCCAGTGCCATTGAATTTCCCACTTCAGAAAAACTGGTCACCTCTGGCCTGGAAATTTTTGTCAGGAAAAACTTCCAGCAGGTTGCACTAAAGTGACTTTTCCCTCCCAACCCTCCAGTAATTTGTAGCCAATACGAGCCCAGACGAATATGATGAGGTGGTCGCTGAAATGAACCTTTCCTGGGATTCTCTTGCTTCCAAGGTTCGGGGAGAACTTGTGAGATTTCAAATTTGTCCTGAGGTGGGACACTTTTTCGGCTGCTCACGGGATGGTCAAACCATTTCCCAGTCAGCTCTGAAGCCTCCTGGGGGAAACTGAGGCAACAAGGAGCAGGGCTTTGGTCCCTGAACTCCCAGCAGCTGAGTGGAGATGAAAACCCAGGGCTGCTGAATTCCAGCCCAGGACTTTGGCCCCTCCGTGTCCCTGCCCACGGTGAAACTGTTTCCACCTCACAGCTCTTCCCAACTCACCTCTCTCCCTGCACCCGCAGCTTTATAACATCTTCTCGGGGATCATGCACTTCCTACCTGGCTGGCACAGGCGCATCTTCCGGGACTACGACCGCCTCAGAGTCTTCATCCGGGCCCAGGTGGCTTCTCACCGGTCCAACCTGGACCCCGGTGCCCCCCACGACTTCATTGACCACTTCCTCCTGCAGCAGGCCAAGGTGAGGGGCAGGCGGGGACCGGCGGAGCCAGTGCCGGGGAGCAGTTTGTTGCACCTGTAATTAAGCTCCATTGATAGGGGGTTGCATCTAGATCCTATCTAGATCCTAGGGAGCAAATTGTGGCCATTCCTGAGCCAGACTTCAATCGTGTTCTCTCCTCATGGACACCCCTTAACCCATCCCCCGTTCCCCAGGGGCACCCCTCCATCCATCCCCATAAAACCAACTAGGAGTCCTGTGGCACCCTGGTGACCAACAGACTGAATTGGGCATCAGCTCTCATGGGCAAGTCCCACTTGGTCAGATGCAGGGAGTGGAACTGACTAGAGAGAGATCTTGGAGTCATTGTGGACAGTTCTCTGAAAACACCCGCTCAGCGAGCAGCGGCCATCTGAAAAGCAAACAGAACGTTAGGATTTATTTTTTAAAGGGATTTATAAATCCATGGTATGTCCACATCTTGAATAGTGTGTGCAGATGTGCTCATCTCATCTCAAAGAAAATACATTGGCATTGCAAGAAGTTCAGAAAAGAGCAACAAAAATTATGAGAGGTTTGGAACAGATCCCTTATGAGCAGAGATTAAAAAGACTTGGCCTTTTCATCTTAAAAAAGAAGAGACGAAGGGGAGATATGATAGAGGTCAATAAAATCATGACTGGTGTGGAGAACGTGAATAAGGAAAAGTTATTGACTTGCTCCCAGATCACAAGAACTAGGGGCAGGTGTAATTAATAGAAATTAATAGATAGTAGGTGCAACCAAACCAAGCACACACTCAATCTGTGGAACTCCTTGCTAGAGGATCTTGTGAAGACCAGGACTTTAATAGGGTTCAAAAAAGAACTAGATAAATTCATAGAGGACAGGTCCATCACAGGGATGGTGTCCCTGTCCTCTGTTTGTCAGAAGCTGGGAATGGGTGACAGGGGAGGGATCACTTGAAGAGTCCCTGTTCTGTTCATTCCCTCTGGGCACTTGGCATTGGCCACTGTCGGCCAACAGGACATGGGCTGGATGGACCTTTGGTCTGACCCAGTCTGGCCGTTCTTATGTTCTTTCTATGTTCTTATCCATTCCTCCATCCATCTCTCCCCATACCTCAGAGTGCTTGGGCGACCGCTAGCAGAGATTCAGGTGCCACCCAGCTGATTAGCCGAGCACCCACTCACAGTGGACAGCATGTATTTCTATTGGTGGTGCACATATGCACATTCCTCAATGCATATAACACAATTTATTCCACCATCCCTCCCTCCCTCCCTCCCTCCTGCCAGGAGGGGTGGGCTACGGTATCACTGGAGACCCCCACCCTTGGTGCTTTGCAGGAGCAAGGGAAGGAGCAGTCAGAATTCGGGGATGAGAACCTGGTAGCACTTACCAACGACCTATTCATTGGGGGCATCGAAACTACCAGCAACACCATCCAATTTGCCCTGCTGGTGCTCAGCAAGTTCCCAGAGGTGCAAGGTGGGTGAGTCACCCTGCCTGCCTTCCCTGGCCCATCCCCGGTGCTACGGTCGGGCAGCCTGCAGATAATTCCCCAAGATCCCTGCCTGGTGACTCCGGCTGGCCCCAGACAGAGGACACCATCCTAAGGCAGGCAGGGGCTCCTCCTGACCCATCCAGCAGCAATAAAAGGGACTCAAAAGAAGAGGGACTGGGCCCCCCAGAATCCTACCCTTCCACCCTGCACACTGGGGGACTCCCCAGCCAGGGTGGACAGATACAAGGGCCCTATCCTCCGTCATTAGCTTAGGGCATGGAGTGTATGGAGCTGTGCTTATTCCCAGCCCCCCAGGGCCCATAGAGGGTGGGTCAGGGGCCTGGCCAGAGCACACTGTGCAGTGATTCTTTTCTGCCCCCAGAGTCCATGGGGGCTTCCCATGAATTAGAGCAGCCCTGAGGTTGCTCTGCATTACACTGGGCACTGGGCAAAGGGGAGTTAGAAGCCCCCCCATGCCAGTCCCAAGGGCAGGGTTGAGGGACAAGAACAGAGTGCCAGGAGGGGGGTGCCAGGCAGAGCTCCCAGTATGGTGGAGGTAGGGCTTGGCCCCCTCCCCCGGACCATCATGGGATGTCTAGTCAGCCTGGGGACTGATGCAAAGAGGCTTGGAAATATGTGCTGTCTGGAAGTGGGGCTGGCTTTTAGGGGGAGAAGAGAAATGAGGGGGAGGTGGGGTGGATGGCCAAGGAGGGAAGTGGGGGAGCACAGATGAGGGGTCCCCCTTTTCCAGCACCCTAACGCCATGAGCGTCTCTTTGCAGCGCGGGTGCATAGGGAGCTGGACAGGGTGGTGGGCAGGGCCCAGCGCCCAGCCCTGAGGGACCGTCTGCAGCTGCCCTACACCAATGCTGTGCTGCATGAACTCCAGCGCTACCTTGATCTGGTGCCCATGAGCCTGCCACACACCACAACCTGCCCCACTGCCTTCCGGGGGTACTGCATCCCTCAGGTGAGATCCCCACCTGGGGTCACTGGCCCAGGGTTAGCCGAGGAAATGCCATCCTGCCCCTTTCCAAACTTCACTCCCTCGAGCTGCCGTGCCACTAAACAGCTGCCACATCCCACCCTAGAGGTGGCTGCATCCCAGCCCCAAGCAAGGGACACCTGGGCAAGCAATTGCCCCATTCCACCTGAGAGGTGGCTACAGTTCAGTGTGGGAGAAGGGATCCCCAAGCCAGTTTGGCACTGAGGTGCTGGCCCAGTGCGGCTCAGGCTAGCCTAGATCCTCCTCTCCACTCCACTCCACTGCTGACACATTGTGTGATTTCGGACCCAACCCTTGCCTGCCCTGTGCCTCAGTTTCCCTCTTTGGGAAAGGGACTTAGAGATCAGAACTGGCTTTGAGATTCTAACCCGAGGCCAGTTATTGCCTTTCCAGTCCTATTGCAATACATTGCCTAAAACCTCGCACTGTCGGCACCTTTTCCCCATCTCCCCCCTCTCCCAGGGTACAACCATCATCCCGCTCCTGGCCTCCGTGCACTTCGACCCAGACAGCTGGGAGACCCCAGAGGAGTTTAACCCAGGTCATTTCTTAGATGAGAATGGAGCATTCAGGAAGAGAGACACGGCCATGCCCTTCTCGGCAGGTAACGTGAACACACCTCCCTTGCTACATGTCTCTCTTGCACACCCACAGCCCTTGCACCAGGGGGCAACACACACACACACACATACACACGCGGAGCAGGGTTCAGCCCCTCCAGCAGGGGGGCGACAGGGACACACACACACCAGGGCTCAGCCCCTCCAGTAGGCACGGACAGACGGACACCAGGGCTCTGCAGGCAGGAGAGGCAGCAGAGTCTGCAAGCTCTTTCAGCTCAGAACAAATAGGGTTACCAGATGGTTTAAAAAAAATACTGGACACACTTGATCTCAGATGGGAGGGACCGGCCGCTGGGGAGGGGGGCTGGATGGGAAGGGGCCCGGCCGCCAGGGAGCGGGGCTGGCTGGGTGGGGAGCAGGAGGGAGGAACCAGCCAGCGGGGAGTGGGCTGGCCCGGGCACACAGATCCTAGGGTGCTGCCTGTTCCGTGCACAGTCCCTGCGGGGTGCATGGGCAAGTGAGCGTGTCTACCAGCCAGGCAGTACGCAACCACGTACTGATACTCACGATGATGATAAAAACTTAATTAAAAAATCCCGACATTTCTCTGTCCGGTATTTTCTCAATTTGTTTCCCGGACAAAAAGCTGAAATACTGGACTGTCCAGTTCAAAACTGGACACCTGGCAACCCTAAGAACAAAGACTAAAGGCCTTGCCACCCTCCTGCCTGATGTACACCCTGGAGGAGCCTCGGGGTGACTGTGCCCATGTGGGTGGCGCTGGGGAGATGGCTACAACCAAGTCCAGCTACTGGCGCATACAACACATGTCTGGGTGGATCTAGTTGGGATTGGTCCTGCCTTGGGCAGGGGCTGGACTTGATGCCTTCTAAGGTCTCTTCCAGCTCTATGCTTCTATGGCTGGGCTGGGCCTCAGGACGCCTGGTTCTACCCCCTGCTCCAGACCACAACTTCCCTGCCCACATTGGCCTGTTTCTGCCTGGCGTTCATGGTGCTGGGGCTGCCTTTAAAACCACTGCTCCCCCTTGGTGAGGGCTGAGAAGGGTGCTAGGAGGTGCCCAGGGCAGATGAAAAGAGCTCAAGAGTCTGCGAAGGAGGAACTCCTCCAGCAAGGGGTAGGGGAGACAGGCCGGAGGAGATCCAGCAGAGGGCCTTATACTCTTGTATCCCCTGCAGGGAAGCGCATGTGTCTCGGCCAGGGGCTAGCCACAGTGGAGATCTTCCTGTTTGTAACCACCCTCCTGCAGAGCTTCACCCTGGAGCTGGTCACAGACCCCGGGGCCATCGACTTGGCCTCCCTGCGGAGGGCTTTCCGCGGCCAGGGCCTCGCCTACAAGCTCCGTGCCATCCCGCGCCCTGCGTAGAGTGGGGCAGGGAGGGAAGGGGCTGGACCCAGATGTCTTTCACATTGCTGTCAAACTGCAATCACATCTCATTTACACGACGATGCACATTCAGATCACTCTCTTTTTACATTAATACTCCCAGCATCTGATCCTGATTTCATTTACACTATGGATGGTGCACATCCTTTCTGACCAATGCTCCCAGGGCCAGCTCCTAATCTCATGTACATTGTGGGGCTAATACTCCTCTGACTTCACTGGAGTAGGAGCCAGATTGGAATCCCTGTTACATACACATGTAAATCTGGAATACCTTCCTGGAGAGTGATGGAGCTGCTCTGGAGTTACTGTGCTGCCACTGAGCTCCGAATCTGCCTTTGTGAATTCAGAACTAACCACTCACAATGCACAGGCCTGCATGCAGCTAGGCTAAGTCACATCTCAGCTCTGTGCCTCAGTTTCCCCTCCTTAATAATTAACTAACCCCACTGATCATTAGCCCTGGCACTGCTGCTGGGGTGCAGTCAGCACATTTGAACCTGCTTTTCCTATTGCGCAGTTCTTCCCGATGTGTTTCCTCAAGAGTCCTGTGCTGAGTTCTTTGAAATTAACGGTGGGGTGGAACGCCAAACAAGAGGCACCACTCTCAGCACTTGGCCATGGCTTGTGTGTCCCACACATGCTGCCTTCCTGTAGCTCGCTTGTCGAAATGCCCTGGAGGCCTCTTTCAGAATTGTAGCCCACTGCACTCTTGGAAAATCCATTCACACAATAAAATGGAAGAAAAGGCCAGAACACTTGGCAATGTCTTTGTATGTTTGGGGCATCTCGGTGGGAAAAGCCAAACCAGTTACTACCAGGATTGGGGCAGGCCTGCATTCCAATCCCAGCTCCCCTCTCTCCCCTCTCCCTAGTGTTTGGGCAACTCGCTTCTTTTCTCTGGGCCTCAGTTTCCCCACTGCCCATCCTGCATATTTGTTGTCAGCTTTTTGGACATGGGCCCTCAGCACCACATCATCAGGAAGCGGGTAAGGCACTGGACAGGACCCAGGACACTTGCCACTGACTGGCTGGACATGGCAAGATGCCGTTGTGTGCCTCAGTTTCCCCTCTATTGAGACCAGGGATGTTAATGGGTAACCGGTTAACTGGTTACTAGTAAGTATCACCCTTTGTGGGTGAAGCTTGTCCGTTAATGGTTAACTGGCACCTGGGAAGCAGCACCTCAGGGCCCCCATGCAGGGCTGCCAGTTCCCAGCCCATGTGGGCTGGAAGCCAGCAGTCCCATGCAGGGCCAGAAACAGCCAGGTTGCCCCTCCCCTTTAAATGGTTAACCGGCTAAACATACATTTTTAACTGGTTAACTAATTAAACAGGATTTTACATCTGTAATTGAGAGTCAGGAGCAAGGCCTGTCTCTCACGTTGCACCTCACAGCACCATGTAGGATAGGTCCTGCTCTGCAGGTGCTACCATAATACACCTAATAAACCCCTCTCAGCACTTGTCAGCATTAAATCTCAAAACACTTTACAAAAACAATGAATTGTTTAGCAGCACCTTAAAGACTAACAAAACATATAGATGGTATCATGGGCACAATCCACTTCTTAATGGAGTATTAAAAGTCCAGTTCCAAAATACATCTGGGGTGGGGAAAAACGGAAAGGGAAAAATAGTGAATTAGAATGTTCAAGTTACAAGAAGCTGATAGAGAAGGTGCAACTTATTCTTAAGTACCCATTGTCTGGATGGTTAAGTCATTACGATGTGGAAGGTCGTGTGCTAGCCAGCTAATGTCTTTATTTATATCTTTGTGACTTGTAAATGAAGTTAAGTTCCAATGCTTCCCTGTGTATTTGGCTTGTGGAATTGGCCCCGGCAGGTTAAATTTTCTCCAACAGGATTTTGTGTATTGCCTTTTCAGATATCTGATTTGTATCCATAAATTCTTTCCCACAGAGACTGTCCAGTCTGCCATACACATGGCAGAGGGGCATTGCTGGCATTTGATGGCACAGATCACATTAGTGGATGTGCAGTTACATGAGTCCCGGATGTGGTGGCTGAAGTGGTTTGGTCCAGTGGGCAGAGATGGCACCGGGACTGATTGCGGGGGTGGGTTCCTGGATGACTATGATGGAGGTCTGTTGTGTGGTTACTGGACAGAATTTGTTTGAGATTAGGGGGTTGTCTGTAGGTGCAGTTTGGCTTTTCCCCCAAGGCCTGTGAGAATAAGGGGTCATTTTCCAGGACAGGTTGTAGAACGTTGCTAATATGTTGGAGGTGTTTAAGTTGGGGGCTGTAGGTGATGACAAGTGCCTGATGAAATGCACCCTAGAATACTCAAGGAGCTGATAGAGGAGGTATCTGAGCCTCTAGCTACCCTCTTTGGAAAACCATGGGAGACAGGAAAGATTCCAGAAGACTGGAAAAGGGCAAATACAGTGCTGTGACGGACCGGGCCGTGTCTGGGCACAGCTGCGGGCATCCACTCAGGGCGAATTGCTCAAATCCGGGGTTCCTTACAGCCCCCGACTGGCGACCTCTCCACACAGGCCACAAACCAGTCTCACAGAGCGCTTCAGCAGCCTGCCTGAAGCCTCCCGAGCAAAACCCCTCCGACACCCCAGCAATATCCGTGCCCCAGATGGCCCCGGGCCTGTACACAGGTGGGGGGTCCTAGCACCCAATCCCACCTACCCCGAACAAGTCCTGTCCGGTTCCAAGAAACCAGCCACAGATCCCTGGTCAATTTACCCTCTGGATCTTACCCACAAATCACGCTGGGCCAATCCTTTAGAATCTAAAACTAAAGGTTTATTAACACAAGAAAGAAAAGCATGAGAGTAAGGTTATTAAAGTACAGTACGTTACATGCACCGAATCTCCCAGTTCTCGATGCAGGCTCTAGCAGAGATGTTGCAGCTGCTGGTTTAAAAGTTCTTATTGCACATCCTGCAATCAGGATGGGTTCACAGGTCTTCCGGGCTCTTCGATCCCTGCAATGCTGCCTCTGGGATGAAGTGCTGAGCTCAGAACAAAATGGCATCGACCACGTGGCCTCTTTATACCCCTTCCTGGCCTCTTCCAGTATGGAGCAGGTCACCTGGTCCTCAGCCTCTCTGTCTTCCCTGCTGGCTGCTCTCAGGACAGCCCCCATTCTTTGGGTGTGTCTTTGGCCCATTGAGAACCATTGTTCCACAGGTAATTAGCATGTCCACAGGCTCCACAGGCTCGGCCCTGCCCCATGCTTAACCACATGCAGGGAAATCTTCAGTTTCTACACAGATTACAGATCTACACACACAGACATTATATACTCACATAAACAGTGTACACAGGATCAGAAAACAGCAAGCTCCCATTCAATACCCCACATGGCTCCCCCCACACCAATTTCTGGGGCCAACACCCCCACCTAGGGGTGCAGCAGCGATCTGGCTGCTTTCCTCCAATTCAGCAACGTGACAAGTGCCCATCTAAAAAAACAGAAATAAGAACAAGCCAGGAAACTACAGTCCAGTTAGTTTAACTTCTGTGCCAGGGAAGCTAATGGAGCAAGTAATTAAGGAAATCATCTGCAAACACTTGGAAGGTGGCAAGGTGATAGGGAACAGCCAGAGTGGATGTGTAAAGAACAAATCATGTCAGGCCAATCTGATAGCTTTCTTTAATAGGATAATGAGTCTTGTGGATAAGGAAGAGGCGGTGGATGTGGTATACCTAGACCAGTGGTCCCCAACCTTTTGGGGCTGCTGGGTGCCTGGGAGTGGGGCCACTCACACGCTGGGCACCCGGGGGTGGGGCTGCGCATGCACCTGGTGTGGAGCCACCCATACGCCATGTGCCTAGAGCCGGCGCCATCCATGCGCCGCACTCGTGGGGCTGGCTCTGCTCCTGTGCCACATGCCTGGGGTAGGGCTGCCCATACGCCACGTGCCCGGGGCTGTCGCTGCTCCTGTGCTGCGTGCCCAGGAGCTGGCACAGCCCATGCACTGCACGTCTGGGGGCAGGGCCGCCCATGTGATGCGCGCCCGGGGCTGGCGCTGCCCCGTGCCTGCGCTTGGGGGCAGGGCCGGCCCCAATCACTCAGCGGGTGCACCATGGCGCCCGTGGGCACCGCATTGGGGACCACTGACCTAGACTTTAGTAAAGCATTTGATATGGTCTCACATGATATTCTTATCAATAAACTAGGCAAATACAATTTAGATGGGGCTAGTATATGGTGGGTGCATAACTGGCTGGATAACCGTACTCAGAGAGTTATTAATGGTTCTCAATCTTGCTGGAAAGGTATAACAAGTGGGGTTCCGCAGGGGTCTGGTTTGGGACTGGCTCTGCTCAATATCTTCATCAACGATTTAGATATTGGCATAGAAAGTATGTTTATTAAGTTTGCAGATGATACCAAGCTGGGAGGGATTGTGACTGCTCTGGGTCATAATTCAAAATGATCTGGACTAATTGGAGAAATTGTCTGAGGTAAACAGGATGAAGTTTAATAAAGACAAATGTAAAGTGCTACACTTAGAAAGGAACAATCAGTTTCACATATACAGAATGGGAAGAGACTGTCTAGGAAGGAGTACGGCAGAAAGGGATCTAGGGGTTATAGTGGACCATACTATTCAGCACAAGCTGAATATGAGTCAGCAGTGTGATGCTGTTACAAAAAAAGCAAACATGATTCTGGGATGCATTAACAGGTGTGTTGTGAGCAAGACACGAGAAGTCATTCTTCCGCTCTACTCTGCGCTGGTTAGGCCTCAGATGGAGTATTGTGTCCAGTTCTGGGCACCGCATTTCAAGAAAGATGTGGAAAAATTGGAAAGGGTCCAGAGAAGAGCAACAAGAATGATTAAAGGTCTAGAGAACATGATCTATGAAGGAAGGTGAAAGAATTGGGTTTGTTTAGTTTAGAAAAGAGAAGACTGAGGGGGGACATGATAGCCGTTTTCAGGTATCTAAAAGGGTGTCATAAGGAAGAGGGAGAAAACTTGTTCATCTTGGCCTCTGAGGATAGAACAAGAAGCAATGGGCTTAAACTGCAGCAAGGGAGGTTTAGGTTGGACGTTAGGAAAAAGTTCCTAACTGTCAGGATGGTCAAACACTGGAATAAATTGCCCAGGGAGGTTGTGGAATCCCCATTTCTGGAGATATTTAAAAGCAGGTGAGATAAATGTCTATCAGGGATGGTCTAGACATTAATTGGTCCTGCCATGAGGGCAGGGGACTGGACTCGATGACCTCTCGAGGTCCTTTCCAGTTCTAGTATTCTATGATTCTATGAAGTGGAATTCTGTTGTTTTCTCTTTTAGGTCTGTCTTGAAGTAGTTCATGTTCTCGCTCTGTCGATATGTTTTTTCACTTCTCTGGGTGGGTATTTCAGTTTTAAGAAAGCTCTGTATAGATCCTGTAGGTGTTTGTCTCTGTCTGTGGGTTTGGAGCAAATCCAGTTATATCTTAGGGCTTGGCTGTATACAATAGATTGAGAAATGTATAGGGTGGTGGAAATGTGTCCATCGTGTAATTGTATTGTAATGTCAAGGAAGTGGAGCTCTCATGTGTACTGATCCAGGCTGAGGTTGTTAGTGGGGTGGAAGTTGTTGAAATCCCTGTAATTTCAACAGCAACCACACAGCACACCTCCATCATAATCATCCAGGAACCTATTTCACTATTTTTTCCCTTCCTTCCCACCCCCATCCCCTGTTTATTTTGGAACTGGACTTTTAATACTCCATTCATCTGAAGAAGTGAGTTGTGCCCACAATGATGTGTTGTTAGTC